GCTCAGGCAGCCTGAGAGGAAATCATGGGAATATTTTCTCCTTGCTTGGAAGTTGATTTTTCCATAGCTCAGCCTCTCGGGTCCCACCTCGTTTGCTCCAGGGGTGGAAAGCAGGAAAACTGACAAATGTTGTCCCCAAATTCCCGTTCCTGGCAAGGCACCACAAATCTCAGTTTTCTTGGATAAGTGGCATGTGCTGATTGCAAACCGTGGATTCCCAATCCCTGGAAGTGCCCAAGGCCAGGTTGGACAGGGCTTGGAGCACCCTGGGATAGTGGAAAATCTCCTTGCCCAGGGAATGGGATGATCCTTAAGGTCCCTTCCTCTCGGGGCTTTCGCTGGTCAGAGTGACCCCGAGATGTGTCGGAAATTCTCTTTTTCCAGCCCTGCACTCGAAGAAGGAGTCAGAGCTCTTCATTTCTCATTCTCAAGGTTGTTTATTGTTCCTTATCTATAAAATTCTTTCTCCTGTCCAGCTGAGATCTGTTCAGCAGGTCAGACAGAGGCTCTGCCTGCCCCCAGGGCAGTGTTATATTTTTATATTAAAAACTACATATGCAATATTTACAATTACTTCTCAATACCCGTCACCTGTGTTAGACAGTCAGCTCCTACTCTAAACCAATCTGTGAGTGCCACCATCACCCAGGAGATGGAGGCCAAGAAGAAGAAGGAGAAAGGCTGGACATGCCCAGATTCCTCCATCTTGCCCCCTGAACCCCCATTCTAAAAACCCCAAAAATCTATTTTTTCACCCCATGATAACTTCACTATTATTCTACTTAAACTGTTGTGGCTTGCAGATGTTCATCTAAGGTTGGTAATTTGCTCCATGGGTCACAATCAAACCCACAGGTGTTTTGGGTCTCTGAGCCCCCTGGCAGGCTCCTGGCACTCCAGGACAGCCAGAGGGATGTCCTGAATTCCGACACCTTCCAACCCAAACCATTCCAGAACTGCAATGTTTTCCCTTCTTTTTCCTGCCCTCCCTTTCCCCTTCCCAGCAATTCCCTGCTGCTCTCCCAGCAGATCCCAGCATTCCCTGCCCTCAATCCCAACAATTCTCTTTGCCTGCTGCTTTTTGAGCTGCTGCCAGGGAGGTGGCACAGAAAGGACCCCATTATTCCCAAAAATAGAGTCCATAAATGAGGATGAGCAGGACCTCCCCGGGGACATTTGGGGTTTGCTTTCATGGGACATCAGCCAGGGAATGGAAATTCCAAAGGACATCCTCATCCTACCCCACGGGCTCCAGAGGGGCAAGGAGAGGGGGGAAAAAGGATCCAAATGGATTTTACCACCTCGGGATAAAGTTGTTGCGTCCCCCTTCCCTTTGGCATTTCTGCTTTCTCCGGACAAGGAAGGAAAATCGACATTCCCAGATCATTTCCCCCACAAGGAACTTTTATTTCCCAGCAAAACCCAGCACTGGGAAGAGAGAAGGGGATGATTGAGCAAGAGGAGCAGGTGGGATTTGATTGGAAAAAATCAGGAAGCCCAGGGAGAAGCCTCCATCCCTTCCAGGTGCTCCTGGGAATTTGGGAACGAAGGGAAAAACATCCCTCAGGATAAAAGTATTCCTTGGGTAAACTGAATGCCAAGGAAATCAGCGCAGGAATTTCTGCTGGGGAAATTTAGGGACAGCTGATTTAAAAGGATTTGCTGGCAGCTTTTAAAGGGATTAAGTCTGCAGGGACAGGATAACCTCGACCTCTTCCTCCAGAACAGCTGGATTTGGGAGCTGGACCCGTCTGGGACAATTTCTGCCTTCCCATCAGCAAAACTTCCTCCTCAAAAATCTTCTCAGTGCTCATGAGTGGCCAATTAATGGGAAAAATGGGGTGGGGGGGAAAAGAAATCCCAAAAAAAAGGCTGATCCCATTTATTTCAGGTGCTGGTTTGAGGATGGAATAAATTCCAGCTGCTCTAGGCAGGAAAATACTATAATAGTAAAAAATACTATAGGAGTTCTGAGGCAATAGCTCAGGTTGGTAAAGCCCATCCTGGATATTCCCAGTTTTTCATCAGGGCAGGGATTTTGGAAAAAATAATTATCCTGTATTTATTCCTTTTTGTTGGATAAAGGGTTTTATCAGGATGAGAGGTTTTTTTGGGGATAAAAAGGTGAAGGCACGTGGGAATTTGATAAAAGAGGAGGGAATTGTTGGATATGGGAATCTTGAGGAGGTTTGGCTCTGGAATTCACTGGGATGAAAAATTCCCAGCGCTTTTTATCTCCTTTTTCATCGTCCTGAGCAGAATGTGCAGGGAGTTCATGGAACAAACAGAGCAAATTCTAGATTTTAATGTGGATTTTGGGATTCTCAGCGTTGCACAGGTGGCCTTAAAAAGAGAGGAAATTCATGAATATTTATGAAAATATCCCTTTTTTGGCCAATTTCCCACCTTAGCCCAATTCCAGGAGGTGCCAGTTAAGGAAAAGAGGCGACACTTGAGGGCTGTCACCTCCCAGTTTTGGGGCAGTTTAGGACATTCCTGCCCCCAGAATTTCCATCCAGGTTCTGAATTTTCCCAGCTCCTGCTGGATTTGGGCTTTGCTCCCTCCATATCCTACAGATATCTCATCCTGGGACCTCCATCCCTGTTTTTCTCCCATCCAAAGGGATCCAAACCCTCTCCAAATCAGTGGCTGCTTCATTCCCAGCACTTCCCACCCATTCCCAAATCCTGAGCATTCCTGGAAGTGAAGCCACTTCTTTTTCTGCCTGGGAATCTCCAGATTCCCGAAAATTGGCACAAATGGTTTAAGCAAGGCCGTTCCCTCAGCATTTTTTTGGATCAGGTGTTGGGATTGTTTTCCAAGAGAAAGCTTTGCCCAGCCAGAGCCAAACGTGCCTTGGATCAGGAATTTGTCGCAAGGAAAATATTCCCATGGATTCCTTTCACCTTGGACAGCTGGGATTTAATTTTGCCTTAAAACCAGGAGATCCAGGGCAGGAAAATCCAAGGAAAATCAGGAAAACGTGCAGTCCAGGAGGTGAAATTCCTCCAGCAGCTGGAAGATCCAAAGGTTCTCCAGGTTTTTGAGCTCTGGGTGTTTGTGCTGCCCATTGATCCCAAATCTGAGGATTCCAGGGTTGGATAATCCCCGATCCCTGGGAATCTTTCAGCTCCATGGAGGCACTGAAATGTCCCCACAAGGGGTTGGGACACAGGGAAGGCCAAGTCCTAAACTCTCAGCTCCCAGCCTGGTTTTCCCTGGATGTTTAATGGGATTTATCCAGCACCATCTCACAGTTTTCCCAAAAACTTTTGAGAACTGATGCGTTCAAACTCCAGGATTCAGTGAAAATCTCTGGTTTAATCCATAAATTTATTTGCATTCACATTTCCACCCCTTCGACCAATGGGAAACCCACAAAGTCAGGTCGTAAATTTTTTTTTTATCACTTATCATCGTAAGATTTTTTTTTTTTATCATTTAAACCATTTTTGGGAGGAGAGGAGGGAATGTGGGGTGGGTTTTGGTGGATTTTTTTTAAGGATAGAGCAGGTTTAGGAAATTAAACCTGAGCTGAGCTCGGAGCTCTGTCTCTGCCCAGCGCCAGGTCCAGCCCTGGGAGATTTTCCCCTTTTATTTCTGGGAATAAAAATGTGTTTTCTGTGCATCCCTCCAAGCACAGCCAGTGCAGCCGAGGGCTGAGCATGCTTGGGATGAATCCCTTGGAATTCCTGAGGTCCCATCCCTCCAAACCCATCCTAACTCCTCCAGCTCTGGCGGAATCGCTCCGGCTTTGTACAGCCCCGAGCGCCAGCGGGAGCTGACCCCGAGCTTTTCTGTTCCCAATCCAAGCTGAAATGAGGGATGGTGCCTCAACTGTGGACAGGCCAAACATCTGGGAAGGGCTGGAACCGTTCCCATTAACGTGGACGCGGTTTGGAAGCGGCTCCCGCTTGGGAAGGGTTTTCAGCCTGGATTTGTTCCAAGGACACCAAAACCCAACTCCTGTTTTACTCCCGGCACCTTATCAGATTTAACTCCACAGCTGCGTGTCCGCTGCCCCCGTTGCTCCCGCTGGGAGCCCGCTGGGAAATGGAATCCTGGTTTATTTGGGAGCTGGGATTCATTAACCCTTGTTATGTCGTTTGGAGGGAGTTTGTGTCGGGAGTTAATTGGCCCTCAGCTGGTTCCTGTTACCGGCTTGGCAAAGGGGATGCACTGGATAGGAGAGAAAAACCTGGATTTGGGATGGGGATGGCTTGGGGAGTGCAGGGAATCATGGAATGGGTTGGTTGGGGGGGGATTTTAAGGATTATCCCAATCCCATCCCATCTCATTCCATGGGTAGGGACAACTTCCACTGCCTGCTCCAAACTGGCCTTGGACACTTCTAAGCCACAGCTTCTCTGGGAATTCCATCCCAGCCAGGAATCCCCAATTCCCAATCTCCCACCCATCCCTGCCCTCTGGCACTGGGAGCCATTCCCTGTGTCCTGTCCCTCCATCCCTGTCCCCAGTCCCTCTCCAGCTCTCCTGGAGCCCCTCCAGGCCCTGCCAGGGGCTCTGAGCTCTGCCTGGAGCACAGGTTGGGGAGATGCTCTCAGCTCCCAGCTCTCCCTGGATCAGATCCCTCCACACATTCTGGGATTCAGGCAGGATTTTATGGAGCCTGACTCCTGTGGATGAAATCTCCGTGCAGAGGAAGAAGCACCGTGGGAGGTTGTAATTCCTAAGAGGAGAGGGGTCCTTGGCATGAAATTATTTACTAGGAATGTTTTCCTCCTGGAGAGCAGCCTCATCCCTGCAGTCTGGGATGCTCCATCCCAAAATTGCTGCTTCCATGTGTGAATGAACACGATGAGATCAGCCCCAACCTGAGCTTCCTCTGCCACCTCCATGGATGGTAATTCCATGGGGGAGCTGCTCCTTGGGACACAGCTGCAGAGCAAACCGGGGTTCCCAGGGCAAGGCTGAGGAAATTACGGATGCAGAGGAGGGTTTGGAACTGGAGCTTGACCTCTCTGTGCCCTCCCCACAGGTGGATGCCGACGATGTCATCACCAAGGAGGAGCAGATCTTCCTCCTGCTGAAGGCCAAGGCCAAGTGCGAGCGCCACCTGAAAGCCAAGGTGCCCAAGGTGCACGGTGAGTGCTCCCAAATTCCGGGGCTGGATCCAGCCCTGCTCTCCAAGCGCTTCCCCTCAGCCCCACATGCAGAGCAGAGAGGGAAGGAGGCGCTTGCAGCACCCCAGCAAATCAGTTTTTCAGGATAGTCCATACGGAGGAGGTTTGGAAAGCAAAGCTGTCCCAGACTTGTTCTGCTCTAGAATTCCAAACTCCAAGGGTCCAGGAGGATGCAGAAGTGGTGGAATTCTAGCCCTGGTTCATGTACCCAATGCACAGGAGAGAGCACCAAGCACCAGCTCTGCTGGGATCACAGAATTCCAGAATGGGTTGGGTTGGGAGGAACCTTAA